GCTTTCTGTCACTGTGATAAACACCATTAAGCAGCTTTGGGGAGGAAAGGTTTATTTGGCTTATTGGTCACCGTCTGCAATTGAAGGAAGCCATGGCAAGTAATCAAGGCACGAGCTGGAGGCATGAAGTAATTGAGAGACCACAGAGAAGCCTTGCTTAGCAACTGGCTCCTCTTACCAACTGGCTCTTCGTGGTTTGCTCATCCTGCTTTTCTTAGAGTCCAAGAACCACCTTCCCAGGAAAGGGCCCCGCCCACATGCTAGGCCCTTCCATGTCAGTCATTAATCAAGACAAAGGCCCACAGACGTGCCTACGTGTCATTGTGATTGAGGCGGTTTCCTGGTTGAACTTCTCTCTTTCCAGATGATTCTAGTTTGTGTCAAGTTGACAACAAAACCAAGCAGTACACACACTATTCCAGAATCTAAAACCTGTGCACACAACCATGTCACAATGGATGGAAAATTCCATACCTGAACTCAGGCCATAGGCTACTGTCAAAATGCAGGCATAATGAAAACAACAAACTTATCTTTATTCTCTATGTATAAGGTGTATCTGAAATAAATGGATTTTGTATATTTACTAGGGTTCAATGCTCAAGATATCTTATTGTACATATACAAATATTCCAAAATTCAAAAAATTGAAAAGCTGTAATATTTCTGGTCCAAGCATTTCAGATAAGGGATATGCAACCATTACAATTTGTGTTATCATACATTCATTCTTTGTTATCCATTATTCAAAAAGTGAGATTCTTGTACAAAATACAAACAAATACTATATAAGAAAACAAGCAGGGCATTAAAAAGTCAAATATATTATTCCATTTATATGTGGGGTCTAGAGCAGGCAAATATATAGAGAAAAGCAGACAACACTGTAAGTAGAGATAATAATGGGAGTTCTTAGGAACTATAGAGTTTCTGTTTGGTGTGATTAATTTTTTAAAAACATACACAGTTGATGGTTATATGATGTGAATGTAATCAGTGCTGCTGAATTGTACACAGATAAGTGGCTAAGACAGTAAACTTTATGGTACTTATATTTTGATACATAAAACATGATTTTAAATGCATTTTGAGCAAATACTGCAGCTTAATTGAAATCATTCACACTTTCCCTTGTTTATGACAAATTTTGATGTGAGAATTTTGACATTACTATTCATACGTTCTACACACAGCATGCCTGTCTCTAAGTCAGTCATCAGAAATAGGATAAACATTAGCCACACTGGGTCAGACATGGCATCTGAAGCAGGAAACCACTAGACTTCAGAGAGTCAAGTAAGAGGTAAAGTAGGTCCGTGAAGGCTAATGTCACATGCCAGTAACCAGGGGCGAATGCCCAAGGGTATCTTGGCACATAGCCAACTCCTTTGGTCGCTAGAGATGCAGTTAAAAGACAGACTCTGAGGACAGAAACACCATAAGCAGCATCTCAAAGATTCCTCCACGTCTTTATTTCTGTCTCCAACTACTCTGTGCCTACCTGGGGGCACACAGTCAAGGGCAGCCGCAGGCAGGTCTTGGCCTGGGTGAAGTCCTCCCTTCCTCCTTCCTGGGTCTCTTCTTTCTCATTGGAAAGAAGTTAGCACAGTGTGGGAACCCAGAAGCCTCTGGGACTTAAACCTATTTCCACATGATTGTTTTCACCATTGAAACTGGAATGATTTTTTCCCTCTGGATGCTCTAGTGGGATGGATAAGTACATAGCTGAAGGCGAAATCAAATCCCTAGGGGCACAGACATCGCCAGCATTAGGAACACTTAGGAAAACCATGTGTTCCCAGCATTTCCCCCTTATTCTTCATTTTGAGGGTTGGAGATTTGTTCAGGGGAAGGCACAAAATGGCTTTCGTATTAAATGTTCGTTCACATTAGTCTGATCTATTCATCATTAGCATAATAATCAGGCCACTTTCTCCCTTAAAGACAGCACGTACTTCTGGATGGCATTACATTTGTCTTCTCAGATTTTGTTTCTGCCAGTGAAGGTAACTGTTATTACCTTACTTCTCCAAACATATACCCTTATCCTAGCAAGGGCGAGTATCACAATCAACCAGAAAGTCGTCCACTTTTGACTCCAAGAACCCCCTTCCAGAATATTTTTCTCTCTAATTGGAACACACCACAGGGTTCTATACACTGAGAAAGGCCTAGAATGAACACTAGATATTAAATATGATTGGCTTCCTAAACTACCAACATCCTTTTCCTTTGAAAACCTCATATTACAATTAACTTGAGACCAACAATTTTCTGCCCCAGGTTAAGTTGTGACAACCCTGATAGGGAAGGAAGTGGCAAATTAGTTGGGATCCTGTTGAGAGATTCAATTACCATTATTTCTAAGTTGGCACATTTGAGACAGACTCCAAATTCCTTGATTACTCCCCACCCCCATCTCTTTTATACAAACATTAAATAAAAATTTTAAATCCCAGTACAGTTTGAAGGACAGACCTGATAATTAAACCCCTTGGGGGCCGAGCTGATTAGGTTAATAGCAGACAACAGAAGGTTAAGGAAGGCTATGAGATGGGGCTGGATAGATCCAGAGGCTGTGACTAGAAGCGTAGGTGAAGCCAGGGTGTGTTTTCACCCACGAGCCTGTGTTTTAGATCCATTTGCAGGGAGGTTGAAAATGACTCCCAGTTCCGTGGCACACAACGGTAAAATCCAGCGGACCTGAGTCTCTGATCTCCTCTCTCTTTACCATGCAGATAAAAAAGCCTGAAGTCCAGAAGACTTAAATAGCTTATGACAGCCTGAAGTCTGGCTTAAAAGAACCAGACATTTAGAATCCAGAGCCCTAAGTGTCTTGTAAGCAGATAGAGCCTGTTAAACGGAAGCCCCTTTTCCAGCAGAGCCCCAGGATAGACTCAGATACAGAAGTAAGAGCATGGAGCTGGGGAGGGCCACATTGTTCCACCTGAGAAACAGTGCCTTCTAGTGTTTTCTCAAAGATATGCGAGAAGAAAAGCCCACAGCCACAGAGGCCCCATCTGCTGAGAGCCACCGTCTGTGATTCATCAGAGAGCAGAAAATACCAGGCAGTGTGAGTTAGTGGGAACTGAGAAAGGAATGTGGTTTTAGGTCCAGATCAGCTCCCACAAAAGTTGACAGGTGCATAGAAAGGAGAGGGGGGACCCACAGACCACAAGAAAGCAAATCTCAGGAGTGGCCCGGGAACAGTATTTGGTTTCTGTGGTTCACAGAGCAATAGGTTCAAGAATGTGTTGAAGGGTTTCTTTGGCAACAGGAAGACTTTGAATTGTCTGCTGAGTTACATTAGACTGGGACATAAGGAAAAGCCAGGTCTTTGGGTTCCTGGTCCAGCGTTCTTTCCCATCACAATGGCGCTTTGTTTCGGGGATGTTGCTTTTCAATACACACAAGACTTCCTGATGGCCAGGGCTTGCTACCTTCAGTGACAACTCAGATCCCAGACACCAGAGCAAGGGGCTGTCACACAAGGGAGTGAGCATCAGCGTTTCAAGGCTGTCTTCTTCAGGACTGACTTGTCCCTCGCCCTCTCAGTCAGTTTTTTCCTAGTCTGTAAACTAGACGCAGGTTAGACCTGCCTCTGAATTAGACACCAAGTGTGTGCTGCGGCCCTAGAGACACGAAAAAGCCAGTCTAACGTCACAGAACATCCTGACCATCTCAGCACTCAGAGCCTTCACCAAGCCTCTTTGATCCTCACAAAGGCATCTATTCGCTTGCCTGTGAGGCTCACGATGCAGAGTGGCTGCATCATACTGCCCAGTTCAGAGGAGGCCAGCGTGGGATCCCACCGCTCTGCCTGTCGTTGCCATGGCAATGTTATGGATGTTTCTCTTTCAGTGTGGGTCCTCTAAGAGCTCCCCCAGATCATGAAGGAAACGCCGAGATCTGGAACCTCGTGGTACATGACGTCTGCCATCCAGAGAAGGGGCGCCATCTACTCTCTGTCTACTCTCTCTCTCTCTCTCATGGAGTTGGCTCCTTGTACATACGCTGCCTGAGTTTAGAGTGTTGTGGGGCTGCCCTCACCCCTGTGCCTGCTACCACCCAAGGCAGCCAGATGTTACACAGAATGAAAACCACAGGGTGAGCTTTTTGAACGAGGGGCTGCACGTTTTCATTTTGCACTGAACTTCACAAATTATTGCCCTGACTTGGCAATCTCAGATCAGTGTTAATTTTTATATTCTTCACTAACTACAATGTGTCGGGTCTGATTTTATTAACTATGTCATCTGGTTTCAAGAACTCCTAATACTAAGCATAAAATCAAGTGGGTTTTTTTTTTTTATGATTTCTCTAAATGATTCTTACCAGAAAGTTACATTAGTAACAGAAAGCTCTGATGTATACGGGGAACTTAATGCAATGAATACTAAGGTAGGAATTTGTTTTCATTGAGGCAGTTAATGTAGGGGATATCACTAAATTCTTCACAGTGAAAATACTGTCCCTCTCAATTTTCTATTACATCAGGACAAGTTAAAAAAAAATATAACTTGTTTTTTATTTTGTTGTAAATGTCTGCCTGCCTGTCTATGCGTGTGTTCTTGCGGAGGCCAGGGAACAACACAGGTGCCATCATCAGGAGCACCTCCCACCTCTTTTGAGACAGCATCTCCCAATGGCAAGTAGTTTACCAATTGGGCTGGGCTGGCTGATCAGCAAACTTTGGGGATCCTCCCATTTCCTGTGCTACCATGCCGGGAATTTTTCCATGAGCTCCAGGGATCCCACCCAGGCCCTCATGTTTGCAAAGCAACCACTGGACCAACTGAGCTGTTTTTTTCCAGCCCTTGTTGCCTCTTCCCTGTGCCTATGCCGATCCTTAGCAACAGCAGCGTCCTTGCCATTATCTATCAGCATTGGATTAAAACCATCGAAGCCGGTCACAGCAGTGGGATCCGGAGCAAGGTGAGGCTTGGCATCACCTTCCTGTGTAGGTTTGGTTACCTTTGCTTCACACCCGAGACTCTTACCTTAAGCTTAGCCAGGAGAAGCTCATGGTCACGAAGCAGTTTCTTGGTTTCATCTTGACTGCTCCCTATTTCTAGAAGATTGGGCTGTGACTCAGTCAGCTGGAGTTGTACCCATTCACCACACTAAAATAAAATTAAAAAAGTGAAATGGATGTTTATCCTTTCTTGCCCTTCTCCTTTTTCCATTTTTTAAAATTTTAATTTCTAGTTACACCAAGCATATTTCCTCCTCCCACAGACATGGGCTAACACGTTGGACACAATAGCTCTAACACAAGCCCATGCTCTGTCTTCTTTCACTTTTAGAACAAATTCTCTCAGGGAGTGTGGGTCTGAATTCCTCAAGTTCTCGAGTGAGAAATGTGTGCCTTAGATGATGTCCTCTTCACCATCTCTCCGCCACTGAATACATTCACACAAAGCAACTCTCGACAGTTGACAATTAGTGACACTTCAGGCAGGCAAAGTGAGGTAGGACCTTCACCGGCCTCAGCATTTCTCCTCCGTCAACACGGTCTTTGCTCCCTGAAGAGGCTAAAGCTCATTTCATTTGGAGATGGCTGTAGGGTAAGGGAGCCGGAGAGAGGACCATGAATGGCCATTCTGAGAGACAGAAGCTGGGTAAAAAGACTTTCCCATACAATTTATAAAGTTTGTATTCTTTGTACCTCTGACTACCCTGCAGGTTATTCCCTAAATACCATGACTCCTTTACTCAAAGAGTGTCTTAAGCTTGAGGAAAAGTGATGTTGACTTAGAAAAAACATCATAGATTTGTTTCCTGTTCCTCCCTGCTGGAATCTGTGAGTTGCCCAAAGCATCATTAAATCGTGTGCAATCAATCAGTTTTCATTGGTACAGCTTTGATGCCCTGGCATTCCCACCCACACCTCTGTAGAGGAGAGGGCAGGGAGTCACACCTCTGCAGAGGAGAGGGTGGGGAGTCACACCTCTGCAGAGGAGAGGGAGGGGAGTCACTCTGTAAAAGAGAGGGTGGGGAGTCACACCTCTGCAGAGAGAAGTCACACCTCTGCAGAGAAGAGAGTGGGGAGTCCCTGAGGTCTTGCATTTTGTGCAGGAAGCTCCCAGCACTGGGAATTTGGCCTTAAGCAGAACCCTGCATTCCACTGCTCAACATCAAATTTTGTTTTCCTCCTACAAATTTTTCATACTACTATAAAATTTGCAGCAATTAAATTAAATGGGCCTTGTCGCCAGTTTTTCTCCCCTTTTTGGCCAGGTTAGCATCCATTAAACATGAATTCTTTAGGTGGCAAATTGTCTAAAGAGCAAACTTATATTTCAGAGGCTCTTGCATGATTTCAGTCAAAGGGGACAAAATGATAGAAGTCTTCCACACCCCAAAGATGTGTGGCTATCTTGCAAACAGCTAAACACAAAACATAGAGTTAAGCCCCAAGTGGCTGCATGTTCCTGATCTCAAGAGTCAGTTTGATATACAGCCTGTGGCAGGGTCTCCATCACCCTACAGTGGAGAAGTATTTAAGGCTGCCTGTACCAGTGGGAACAGTTCTGGGAGGCACTGGTAAGAGCCTCTTAGTGTTTCCATTTCTCTGTCCTGCCAAGGCAGTGCCCCCCTCTGACCTGTCCCCTCCATCACATCCACGCAAAAATAACACACTGCCCTGGCCCACCCGACTCTTCACCTGAAGTTCCAGAGCCTGTGTGACATGTGCCTTGCCTTTAAGGGCCAAACTGAAAGTACACCATAAAGTTTGTTTTAAGTCGTTGTAGATACTTAGTACGCTGAAAAGCAAACTGGCAACTTGTTGAAACTTGCCAGTCCTCTGACACTGGTTTACGTGATTGAAATCACTTATTATTTAGTATCTGTTCTGTGCTGTGTCCTGTGAACATGTGCATTATCTTTTAGGACTCTCAGCACACACAAAGAGCCCCCCCCCCCCCCCCCCCCCGGCCACAGCCACACAGAGAAAAGAAAGCTGTGCACTTACCTTGACAAGGGCTATCACGATTTTGGAGTTCCCAGCTTGCACAGCTACAGAGCTGATGGTGGTGGTGGAAACACCCGCATGGGGACTTTCTTTGCAGGACATGGCACTTTAGAAGGAAGATTTAAACCCGGGGCACCGTTGATAGGGATGCGTGTCTGTTGGTCATGTTAGAAGGCATCCACACGGCTACCGGACTCATTCGGGGAATGCTCTCGGCTCACACTGATTGCCCAGCCAAAAGGAAAGAACAGGAAGTTAAAAATAGACAGCCCCATTGAGCTTATCGAGAGGGAGGGGGAGTAGGGGGGAGAGAGAGAGAGAGAGAGAGAGAGAGAGAGAGAGAGAGAGAGAGGAGCAGCCACACCCCTAGTATGGTAACAGTAAGTGCCTGTTATTTTTGCCATTATCTGAAACTCGAGGGACAGCCTTGAGCTCTCTGCCTATCAGCTGATGTCCGATAGCTAATGGAAAAAAAAAATACATCCTGACAGCCCGAATTAGTTTAGCCATTGAAACTAAACAGTTGTTAACCGTGGACTTTGAAACCAGAAAGTTGGTGACCTGAATATCAATCTTTTCAAGTCTAATTCATATAAAGAAAACTTCCAAAAATGATCCTTTTTGTTGGGGGGGTTAAGTCACAAAGTTGATCAAAAATATTTTTAGATTAATCTGTTTTTCTAAAACTTAATGAACTTTGCCAAATGAAGTTCGTGGAATGGTCACATTTTCTAAGAACTTCTTAGGAGTATTTTAAAACATTTCACCCAGCACTTATTAATAAATACACATCTTCCCAGTATTTCTTCATGATGGTTTTCTGAGCAATATTTTTGAGCTCAGCAGCAATCAGCAACTAGGAAGCTTAGTACTTTGTTGTTACCTTTTAACTGTAGTAAGAGATGTACTTTTGCTTGTTTGTTTAAAGGTGAATGTTTTGTTACTTTCTTTTCTTTTCTTCTTTTAAATCCTCATTTCTACCTGGAGCAAAAGAAGTTGCAGCCAGCTTTAAATCCGAGTCAGGCTCCCAGATTAATCCTTCTGCCAGAAGCTCTGCCTGTGTCAGAAGTTGTCTCTGGTATTAAGCAGCAGCTGTTGGATCCCCGTCAAAGAACAGCTGAAAATAACACTGAAGCTTAGGTCGGAGGTGAGAGGTCAGAGGCAAACACATCAGAGACACTAATTCCAAGGCAGCTGCAACCACTGGAGATCTCTGGGGTGAAAGACAAAACGGGGGACAGAGCCACAAACAGAGCCAAAGCAACCTGCTCCCTGTGTAAGCCCCCTCCCTCGGCTCTGTGTGAAAGTAGGTTAGACTCGGGGCTGAGGCTCAGAGGTCTGAGTAAGCGCTATTGCTTTCTTTTGCTACCGTTTATGAAAATATTCTTGAGCTGAAATGTGTGAGAATATGCATACATGTTTATGTGGGACCACTGTTCATTCTGAGAGCATGCCATAGTTGCTGTGCAAACCGTATGCCCTGGACCCAGGGCTTCTGTGTTCAATGTCTGCCTGCTGTACCGATGAAAGGGGAACCACACCAAGATCCTGTTTCCTAGACTGAACAAACTTCACCGGACACTGTGAAGGGAGCAGCAGGAGCGAGCTCTGGCCAGCAGATGGAAGATACTTGACAGTGTGGGAAATGTTCAGAGTGGCTTTATTTTTTGACAGGGCTGAAGAGCTTGTGGGGGGAAAAACACTTTGGAATATTAAAGACAGTGTCTTCCACTGAACCAGTATGTAATTGGGCTGTACAAACAAAACAATTTAATTGCAACCAACTTTCGGCCCTAACAACCAACATCCAGAATGGCCATATCCTAAACTAAGTGCACAGTGGGTATTGCTTAAGTCCATGTCCGTCTTGCCAACCAGAACAGCAAACATCAACCTGCACGCAAACAGCATACTTTCACCCTAAGTTAACCCCGGGACTGGAAAGTGCATGGTTCACAAGTTGCATAAAGGCCCTCGAGTGTGGAAGGGAATTTGGGGCAGCAGGCTACAAAGACCATGGCTAAATTAGCCATTCCATTCACAAAGCTTCACTCAGGATGGAAGAGTGTGTCAGGGGTACAGGACAGCACAGGAACTGGAAAATGGCAGCCAGTTAGACAGAAAGGAGGGAGAGAAGGAAAGAAGAGCACAGGGCCAAACGGCTAGTTAAATCCAAGGTTTAAGGGCAAGGGGAATTAGAAATAGGACTTTGTTAAAAGATTAATCCAGCTACTCAGCAACATACTGTGTGTGTGGATGACCTTTTTCTTAATTAGATGGAGCAGGTCCAGAGGATTTCATAAAAAAAAAAAGTTCTCTGCTTTAGTGGACGTGAGCATTAAGTCAAATTGTATGCATGCATGCATTATTAATTCTTACTCAGATTCTTGGCTTTAAAACTTGTAAAAGAGCTAGGCAGTGGTGGCGGTGCATACTTTTAATCCCAGCACTCCAAAAGCAGAGGGCAGGCAGATCTCTGTGAGTTTGAGGCCGGCTTGATCTACAGAGCGAGTTCAGGATGTCTAGGGCTACACAGAGAAGCCCTGTTTTGGGAAAACAAGCAAACAGACAAACAAAAGCAAACATACTAAATCTTGGCAAAGACCTGAATCGTTACCATTTTCCTTTTTTGCTTTCTTTCAACTCCACCCCCGCAGTAACTCAGTTCTCTCACAGAAACCCCTGCCATCAAGGTCTCTTTTCTGCAAAAGCTGTGGCCTTCATCTAGAATAACGCCTAGTGAGCAGCCTATCATTAACTCCAGCACGTGTCTGGAGAAGAGTTAGTAAGAAATACATTGAGCTACAGAGATCACTACACTATGCTCAGGTGCATTTTATTCATATTAAAGTGGTAAAAGCCTTTGAGTTACAGCTTGTTTCTACTCCGCATCATCACACACAAAACAAGCCAGACCAAGAGAGACCCTCACAGGCACTCCCCTGCCTTGGGAGGTTAGCGGCAGCCTGGCAGAAGTGGCTACACCTTCTCTGTTCATCCCTCTGGGAAATGGCTGCTTTTATATAAACTGAATTTCAGTGGAATGTCCTCTATGGGGAATCATAAAGCTATGGCTGAATTTGATAGAGTTTCAAATCAGGTTCTTAAAGCAATAGACAGAGCTCGTATTTGTGAGCCTTTCTGTGTGGTTGTTTTCAGCTCTATCTGTGGGCATGCTGAGTAAACAGTTTTCTTCCCTGCTGTATATACACAAAGAGGGGGCCCCTTTTCTTCACATGGAGTACCAGGCTTTTGTCCAGGTACGATTGTTGGCTTTTTGACTTTACCAAGACAAATTACAAAACCCCACTATAAATAATCCAGAATGAGTCTATTATGGTCCTGGCATTTGCAGCCTTCTCGTCGGCAACTTCTTCTCACACGTAAGCTCCTGTCTTCATTCAGTATGGAGGACTCAGTACTACAAATACTATTCTAGACATTAGGCAAAAGCAGAACAAGGTTAATCCGCAATGGAGTCTGACCTCTGGACAGGGGGTGGAGACATGACCAAATGGCAAAGATGCGAACAGAATAGCTATGGTAGATGGATGGACAGATAGACAACAGACAGACAGAGCAACCGCATGTAACGAGAACTACAAAGGAACACGCAGCCAGGGTGAGGAAAGAATAAACAGGGAAAGAGGATGCTCTTTTGAGGAGGCTCAGGAAAGCTCTAATAGGTGAGACTTGAGTACAGACTTGGATTAAGCAGAAAGAACTAGGCACGCAGCTATCTCGTGGAAAGAATATTCCAGGCAGCTGGGGCACGCCTTTATTCTTGAAAAGCATGCCGATCGGTTGCTGAGCTAAATGAGGACAGAGAAGAAGACAGACAGAACATGAGACAGGGCTGGCTGGTTCGCACAAACCCTCTCAGTAAGCCACTGGGTTCTGCCTTGCCGGGATGACCCTGGTTTTACACCTGGTTCTGCCATAATGACTCTTAAGGCCCCTTTCACAATCGAAAGAATCCGCTTGGATGGTAATTTTTGTGCTAACCCTACTGGTAAGGCAGTAGTGATGCTTTTGGATTGATTCTGAGATGGGAAACTATTGCAGGCTCTCATCCAAAGAATGGCATCATTTTGATTTAATGTTGCTATAGAAACTGTGGAAAAGAGACTGTCGAAGTAAGGCACAAAAGAGGAAGGTCATATGACCACCACACCGCCTGGTGCACAAAAGGCCACAAAAGACAGTGCTGCAATGCTTCTTTTTTGAACACCTACGCCATGCTGAAGAAGAAAGAGGTATTCAAAGACAGCAAAAGATACCCCCAAAGGGCTTCTGCTGGCAATTTTATTCTCTCTGTGATTCGAACAACTTACAGCTAAGTGTGCTGAAGGACATGCGATCAGGGAGAATAATTACACACAAGCAACGTTTTATATCCACTGCCTTTCCCATCTAGAAGTGACAGGAAAAAACAAATAAAATTTGTGCAAGTTTCAAGAATACTTAAGCTGGTTAAGAGATCCAGGTGGAACAAAGATTCCCCCCAGATCAGCGTGTACAGTACAGTTAACACCTTTTTCATATTGCACCTATACCCATGTACAGTTCTTCTCGAAAATTCTCTAAATCATCAAAATAATCTAGAAAAGTTCAAAAGTTAGTAAAGTCAAAATGAACAAAAAAACTTGAGAATCTTGTTGATATGAGCAAAATCCTTTTGGTTGAGAGAAAAATATTTACAATACACCAGGCCAGGAACAACAAAAAAATATTTTAAAAATATCATCAAAAAAACTTTTCCTATACCAACTTTTGTTTTAGAACCAAGCCATGTCACTTGTCACCCACTCTGAAACATACCCACCATCCAATGTTGCTGAATTTTCTCTGATTTCTTTTCTTAGAAGGACATGTTTGGAGAATCCAATTCCAGAAGATGGTGATATACATAATTTACATCACAGAGCTTTGGTGAACTGGTGAACTTGGTTCTGGAAAGTTGCATTTCTTTCATTTTTCCTTACTGTTGTTAAACTCCAGTTGAGGCTGAGATTTTCCATCTCAAAATAATCCCCAGGGAGGGTCTCACGGGCCACATTCTGGGGATGCCAGCAGGGACATGGAGTGAGCTGTCACTGCTTGCACACTGCCAAGGGAAGACTAATGACCTAATTCAAAGCCCGACGACACAAAACTCAAATGCCCCAAATAGCAGAGTTATTACCCATGAAGTCTAAGAAGGAAATAAGGGGTTAAAAAGA